CCCAGACCGTGCCTAAGCGACTCATCAGGGACAGACCGTTCTCTGAAAATCATAATACAAAACTCATCCCTGCAAGTTCCAGGATGCGCTGCCAGACTGTTCTGGCTCGGATAATTCTCATCTGCGGAGGCAGAGCCCAGCTGGAGCTCTGCTTGTTTGGAAACTTCATGTATTTTCTGCCACTGCTCATTCCTGACTTGCAGAATTTTGCTGCTTTGGAATTTATGATGCCACAAACTTGCATGTAAGGAACTTTGCTGAAGGCAGACTGGGTGGTCTGAAGGATTAGGAGATTCCCTGGAATAGTACTTGCCTGTGTGCTGTGTGCACATGCATACAGGGTAGCGCGGGGTGGGGGAGGCGTGTAGCACGAGGAGGGCTCTCAGGAGAGGCAAGCCCAGGGCACGGCCAGAGGTGGTCACGGAGCTGGACAAACTTCAGCCATCTTCTCCGACCCCACCCCCACCTCTACCTCCATGTTACAAAACATGAAAACCAGGGTGGAGCCAGACCAGGCCTTAGACTCTCTGAGTCAACTTATCTTCATACTGTGCTCTAAGGTGGGTCCTTATCATACTTTGTCCCCTCCATGCAATAAGTACTATTTGAAAAAAGGTAAAAGAAAATAAATGGAAAATTCTGATTTAAAACCAAAATAAATGGGGTTTTTTACTATAGAAATTTTCAGAGACTTTAATGTATTAAATACTTTGTAAATCTCCAGGGTAGCATTATTATATGTGGTGTTTCTCAAACTTACTTGACTAGGAAACCTTTTTTTCCATAAAGCACCTTAAAAGCCTAGTATTCTGCAGAAGGCCCTCAGGAAAACCCCAAACTCTGCCATCTTAATGTGCCACTTAATGTTTTTCAAAAACCTGAGTTTAATTGCTGCCTAATGTTCCATTATGTGGCTAAGCGAAAATTTATGTTTCTATTCCCTAATGGCTAGACACTGGGATTTTTTACAGTTTTTCAGCATAATTGATAATTCTAGAATAAATTCTGGTTACTTTGTGACCATCTCTGATCGTTCTCCCAAGAGGTAGAATTGTCCGATCAGAGTGCATGAGCATTTGCAGGACTCTTGAAAGGTGTGGTCTGGCTGCTTTCCAGAAAGGCCACGCCCATTTGTCCTCCTGCCGGTTGCCAGAGCTGGGGCAGGGTCAGCGTCCATCCGTGAAAGCTGCTAAGTCCAAGGAGCTCAAAGTGCTTGAAGAAGGCCCTTCCCCTCTCTCGCCATGTGGACATCCAGCAATTAAAAAACAGTCATACTCACTAAGGACATAAACAGCCGTTTCTTTTAAGGAGACATACTGGCTTTTCACATTTTCCTGGGCTGCTTCTAAATAATTAAATGACACCTGAAAGTTATCTGAACACTTTAATTTGGTCTTCTAGATATTTTGTTGGGTAGTCAGGGAAGAAGGGATTTTGAATTGGCGTCTGTTGTGCTAATTTTCACATAACCTTTCAAGGTGAGATTTAAAAACAAGGCTTTATCATCAACCTCCCATGATTGTGATCGAGAAATAGACTTTATTTCTAGCAGAGTCTTTTTTATGTGAGCATTCTATCAGTCTTCAGTCTGACCTCAGACTGAAGGAATTGAATTATGTCATGTGGAGTAGTGAGGCTGATTGTGGTGCTTTTGTTTTATGTTTGTGTGGGGAAAAGTCTATCCATTGTAGGCTAGAAGTGATTTATCTTTTTGTCCTCCACAAATATTATCCTTTGGTCAATGCATTTACTGGGTTTTAGAACTGAGATGGGAACTTTTAACTCATAAAAACCCCCAAGTCCCCAGCAATAAAGTCGTTTAAGTGGCTTCACCAGCAGATTTATTTCAAAGTGATTCCATTTGGAGGAAGGAAAGAATGAGTAATGCATTATATACAATGATCTCTTCAATAATTCATGAGACCTGCACACCAGTGACCATTTTAGATTCAGTTCATGGTGTTTTAGCCTAAAACGAACTCTGTCTTAGAAGATACCCACAATTTGCAACTCTTTGTGCTTGAGTCCATGAGGGTCTTTACCATTGAGAAGTAGAGTTTGTGCTGACTCTCCTGCTTTGTGTGTTTGCATGGGCCACTCTTATATGGAGGCTAATTTGAAAAAATTGGCATTGTATATAATTGGGCAAACAGGATACTTTATATGCACTCCCTGCCCATAGCAAAGCAAAAAGTGTCTCAAAATACATTGCTCTTTCCTCCTTTTGGGCAGGAATTCAAATTTTGCTCTTTAGGTGTGAGCATTGGATTATGTTGGTGAATATGGATAGGCATGTGTGGCAAATGGCTGCTGTCCTCAAGTGCATTCTGGAATGACCCATTTGTTGGGCACGGGGACAGTGGGCTGGGCCGCTGCACAGTTCAGAGGTGAATTCCTTGGTTCACCCTGAGCTTCATCCAACTCTTTCCCTTTTCTGAAAACCGCAGGGCTCTAGAGAGCTTTCTCCTCATGATGGAGACTGCATGGAGGCTGTGGGGGAGGGGGAGATTGTGGGAGAGGGAGATGGCTTGGGGGAGGGGAGGCAGCCTGCTTCCCTCCCACACTGTTGGAAGTGCCAGCCAGGCACTCCTCACTGCAGTCAAAGGGAAGCCTAGGGAACCCGTGTGCTTCAAATTTCTGAATATGATCATTTCAGTTTGGCGAGAATTGATCCAGTGAATAAGTACTGTGTGGGAAATAAAACGAGTATGGTTTTGTTGTTTGCCAAAAAAGCTTTAGGATCCTTCCTTCCTTCCTTCCTTCCTTCCTTCCTTCCTTCCTTCCTTCCTTCTCCTCCTCTCCTCCTCTCCTCTCTCCTCCTCCAATAAAAATAGCTGCTTTTTTTAAACTTACAAGCCATTTTACTTAAAAATCATTGTAAAATTTTTTTATACAGACTCTTATAAGGAAATGTAAAAATCACTAGAAATCCCACCATTAACATTTTGAAGGACCCCATGTTATTCCTGAACATAGAGATACACTCCCACACACATTGTCCCCTAAATTATATTATGCTATATGTGCTGCTTTGGGACTATTTTAACAGTATATTAAAGAGACCCTTTCCTATAAATAAAAGTCCTCCTCATCATTTTAATGGTTGTGGAATATTCCATTCCATATATATATCTTAGCTCGCCTGCTATAACAAAATACCGTGGACTGGGGAGATCACACAGCAAACATCTGTTTCTCAAAGTTCTGGAGCTGGGAAGTTCAAGACCAAGGTGCGGCAGATCCAGGGACTAGAGGCCCACTTCCTGGTTGCAGACACCCTCCTTCTTGCTGTGTCCTCACATACTGGGGAGAGAGCGGGAAAGAGAAGAAAGATCTGGCCTTTTCCTCATCCTTAAAAGGCACCAATCCCATCATGGGGGCTCAACCCTCATGATCTCATCTAACCCTCATCACCTCCTAAAGGCCACACCTCCTACTACCATAGTGCTGAGAGTTGGGGTTTCAACATAAGAATTTTGGGAGGACATAAACATTCACTTCATAATGTTATACTACTAATCAGTTCTCTGTGATGAACCTTTAGGTTGTTTGCAAATTTTTGCTCCCATATGCAACACTGGCATGTGTTTTCCTGTGTGTGATCATCACTCTGGGGTATATTCCTATAAGAGAATTTCTGGGTCAAATGGTATGCACATTTCAACTTCTGTATATATTATAATGCCAACAGTGGCTTTTAAAGAAGATACTGAAGTACATTCCATGTATCATATGGGAGTGCCTCCCTTCCCAAACCCACAGCAGCCCTGGACATAGATCTTTTTAATAATTAATAAGTTCCTTCACATTGTTTTCCATTCCTTTAATTCTAGTTGAAGATCTTTTAAAATTTGTATTGGCAATTTATATCTCCTCCTCGGTGATTTCCTGTATATATATATGTCCTTGTCCATTTTAAAAATCGAGCTGTCTTTTCTTATTGACTTTAAAAACCTCCAGGATTTTTTTTTTTTTTTTTTGAGACAGAGTCTCACTCTGTTGTCCAGGCTAGAGTGCCGTGGCATCAGCCTAGCTCACAGCAACCTCAAACTCCTGGGCTCAAGCAATCCTTCTGCCTCAGCCTCCCAAATAGCTGGGACTAAAGGCATGTGCCACTATGTGCGGCTAATTTTTTCTATATATTTTTAGTTGGCCAATTAATTTCTTTCTATTTTTAGTAGAGGTGGAGTCTCACTCTTGCCCAGGCTGGCTTGAAACCCCTGACCTTGAGTGATCTGCCCGCCTCAGCCTCCCAGAGAGCTAGGATTACAGGTGTGAGCCACCACGTCTGGCCCGAGATATTTTTTAATTTAAAAAAAGATGCAAATTAAGACTGGACACTTCTCCAAAATATATATAAATGTATGTATTCTGAGACTAATTCTCTATCCTGTGTGGGGATGAATGTATTCTAGTGGCCAATAGACTTGGGCTTTGTTTACATTTGGAATGAAGCTCAGAGAAGCTGATTGAATGTCTGGTCATTTGTGGACCTCAGACCAGGACCTATAGGAGGCAAGGCGCTCTGTGGGGAGATGGCAGCCCTCCAGCCCTGAGGGCAGGTGCTACCTGAGTGCTCATTATGAGTGTTCATTGTTGACGGCTCAGCAGGGTCCTGTGATCTTTGCCAGTGTTCCATTTCCCTCTCCTTGGCTACATCTTTTTCTTACTGCTGTGTAATTCTAATGAGATTGCCTCCGGTCAATCATATTAGAGACTTGATGAGCAGTAGAGAAAGGAAAATTTACAGAATGGCAACATTTAAGATAAAATTTGTTTTTGGCCTTTGCCCAAGAGTACATTTTCATGGTCTATAAATATCACAAGCATCTGTATAACGTGAGAAGGAAAATTTATTATTTAGTATGAACCCTGGAAAAATTCTAAGGGGAATTTAGAGATCCTATAGGGATGATTATAGGATGAAAATTTTAGATTTAATTTGGGATTGCATAAAATCTGTTCATCTTGGTCTAAAACTGTTTATTGTTCTTAAACAGTTTCATTCGTTGGCTCCCATGTACTATCGAGGATCTGCTGCAGCCGTCATAGTGTATGATATCACCAAACAGGTAAGAATGTCTCCTCTAGAGTTTAGATGCAATTGATGGTGATTCTCTGACTCAGAAAGACCAACAAAGAGATGTTACTGCTTGATTGTTGCCAGTAGCCTGGCATCTATACAGAGTTTATTGCACATTATGTAATGAAGCGTCTCACATTTGTCTGCTAAATTAAATAAACAGCAATGACCATTCATTCTTAAAATTGACTGTAGAGGCAACGTCATGCCTGCAAGTATTGTTCTCCAGAAAGTCAGCTTTTTAAGAAAAGGAAAATTATTTTTAAGTTCTGCTTGTTTTATAATTATAGAATACTCACTTTCTATTAGCATTTCAATCATACTACATACTTAAAATGCCAAGGATAACACTTATGTGTATATAAGTAAATATATGTGTGTTTGTATATATAATATAAATATAAATATGTTTTTAGTTATGTTGAGACTCTAATATCCGTCAACAAACCACTGCAGTGGTGTTCTGATGACATTTTTTTCACTCCTGCAAATTGAATTATTTACTTTTTTATCTGGAGTGCTGACTCAGTGCACAAGACTGTTAGCCTAATGACCCATCACTGTTACCTTCTATGAGTTCCTGACCACTTCTACCTAAATGTAGTGTCGACCTTTGCCGGTTTCCTAGAGGATGGCTATAAGTGAAGGGCCAGAGAGAAGACAGCACTCTAAATATGTTTATTCTTTCCTGATGTAACCATGAGCAGGTCCTGTTATCCTTATTCCACCAGAGTCAAGGCTATTTGTTTAAACTAATGTTATGTATAGAAGAGAAGTCCTAATATGATTTTCTTAGCTTGATCAAGTTTCAATTTTAGAAAAAGAGCCTTTGATACAGGCTATTTAAGTGTAGCTTAGCTAATGTTAACTTTTGTGACTTGATAGGATAGTATGTTCATCTGTGTGAGTCTCCTAAAAATATTTTTCTCTACTAAATTTTACTGAGTTTGCATTTCTACGTGGTTGGAATATTACATTGACAGGTCTTTCCAATGACTCACTTATACTTTTGTTTCAGGATTCCTTTCATACCTTGAAGAAATGGGTTAAAGAGCTGAAAGAACATGGACCAGAAAACATTGTAATGGCTATTGCTGGAAACAAATGTGATCTCTCAGATATTAGGTAAGGTGCATTTAAACATTTTTTGTGTATTTCACATCCTCCATCCCTGAATGTCTGCAGGTAAAAAGGTATTATGCCTTTGTTATTTTGTCTTTTTTATGTGTAATAATTTAATTGATGGCCATTTGCTTGTGGTAGTCAATGTAGTATTTATCCAACTCGAGTAGAATTAAAGGAAAATGATAGGGAAGTGTAAATCTGATGGACTAGTGATGAATATTAAAATCAAATTTCCTATATATGGCACAATTACATCCCTAACTCTGCATATCTTTGGGCTAGATTGTTTTATTAATTTTATTGTTACCTTTTCCACTATTGTTATTACTGCTAGCATAATTTTAGTAACACTTTCATATGGTAATGACCATTAGGATTCTTAATATTTTCTATAGTGTACCTGTTTGTTTGAGTTCTAGACTTTGTCTTAAGGGTATGGTCAAGTGTGCATTAGAACTCTTTTGTAGTGTGTGTTAGAACTATTTTCAAGCATGAGTTCAAATACACCATGGCTTCCCTTGGGGACAGTGGGTTGTTGAACTTGCTTTAACTAGATGGAGCTTTGTAGGCACCCAGTCCATGTGAATTAGAGATTTGATGATAGCTTTATCTAGCCTAGTAAGCTATCTGTGTTACTAAATAAATATGTTATAAAAAAGGAAATAGTGCATTGCGTTATCTCCATTCCCTTGGTTAATTTAATTCTCAGGAATTCCAGTACTTGATTTTCATAAAGACAGATACATCATGCTTCTGGTTTTGCTAATCCAAATATGATTAAACCAAAGTTACATAAAAAATGAAAATGGATCTTGCAAAAGCTCTAACATAGCATTTAACAAATTGCTCTGTTTCTTTGGGATTTCAAAAGCTTTATAACACATTGCATCAGGTTGCTTTATAATAACAGCCGTAAATACCACTTAATCCTTTGTTTTTCTGGGGATTGAACAAATCTTTGACTCCCCAGACTTGGTTCGGATATCTACCTTCTTTACTGTAGTCTGCAGCTTGCTAGTCTAGTATTCCCAGTAGAATTGCTTTAACCTTGGTCATGGGAAGGGGGTGGTGGGTGAGTGCTGCGAGAAGACACTATTTCTAGCAACTCCTAATTGTAGTACTAATTTGTATGACTTTAAGTAGAACTAAGCCTTATGTATTGTGGGAATGCTGATGGACTAGAATTAAAAAAAAAAAATTGGAATAGTATCAGTTAAGACTCTTGGTTACGTGGAACCAAAAACCAATTGGAATTCATCTTGGCTGAGTCCGTGGTTCATGCCTGTAGACCCAGCTGCTCTGGAGGCTGAGGCGGGAGGATGGCTTGAGCCCAGGAGTTGAAGGCTGCAGCAAGCTATGATTGCACCAGTATACTCCAGCCTGCGTGACAGAACAAGACCCTATCTCTAACAAAAAATTAAAAATTTTAAAAAAGTTGAAATTCATCTCAGGAGAAAGGGGAATTCATTGGAAGGTACTGGTATCCACATGGTAAAAATATGGCTCCTTTAGCTCTGGTATTCGATGTGTTCCAGCATTACCCTCAGAGAGAGATCGGCCTAGCATTCTGTTTAAAGTCTGAGATGCCATGGAAGGGTGACCCGGCACGCCCATGGCCAAAAGGGACTTTAGGTAGTACAAGATGATGTTTCCCAGAATCACCATGAAAATGGGAGAGTGGGTGATCTTGACGAGGGACAGCTCCTAGAAAAGCATATCCTGGTCAGACAAAACACATCTGCAGCGTGCTAGGTTGGCTGCCAGACCTGCACTCATGCCATTTCTCAGGGTGGAGTCTGTCCTTTAGGTGCTGGCTCTCCCTGCTCCTCACAAAGGCATTCTGGTCGGGCCCAGCTGAGTCCTACGTGTGTAATTTTCAACATGTCCCAGCTAACGTAATCCATTCCTTTCGCCTCCAGCCACAAATCCAGTCACAGCCTTTCTATCGGTCCCCCCTGGGAGATAACCTAAGGCCATCAGCTACTGCCACCAGTGCTGCCGCCATGGGGCCACCATCCCCTGAGTCCAGACTCTCTGGGTAATATCCTTTCTCCTCTGGTTAGGCTTCAGTGAGGTCTGAATATGGCTCCTCAAGATCTTGCAGTTGTGGCTTAAAGTGTGGAATGTGTATCTTTTGTTATACACAACATTATTTTATTATTATTTTTTTTGAGACAGAGTCTTGCTTTGTTGTCCAGGCTAGACTGAATACTGTGGCGTCAGCCTGGCTCACAACAATCTCAGACTCCTGGTCTCAAGCTATCCTACTGCCTCAGCCTCCCGAGTAGCTGGGACTACAGGCATGTGCCACCATGCCTGGCTAATTTTTTCTATATATATCAGTTGGTCAATTAATTTCTTTCTATTTATGGTAGAGACGGGGTCTCACTCTTGCTCAGGCTGGTTTCAAACTCCTGACCTGGAGCAATCCGCCGGCCTCGGCCTCCCAGAGTGCTAGGATTATAGGCGTGAGCCACCACACCCGGCCCACAAAATTATTTTAGATGGTATTTACTGAATCAAGTGACAAGGAAATGACTGCCTTCAATCCTCTGATTAGGTCAATGAGAAAGACTAATTTGCTGCTAATAAAATTTTAATTTTTAAACATTTAACATAGTCTTTTGAGATAATTTACAAACCATAACATTCATGTGTTTTAAGTGTACATTTCAATGAATTTTAGCATATTTATAGAGGAGTTATGCAATCACTGTCACATCTAATTTTAGAGCATTTCTGTCACCCTGCAAAGGACATCATGCCCATTTGCAGTCACTTTAATTTTCACTTGTGTTTAGCCTCTGGCAACCACTAATCTACTTTTTTTGTTCCTCTAAATTTGCTTTTTCTGGATGTTTTTTGTATAAATGGAATCATATAGTGAGTGGTCTTTTGGGACTGACTGCTTTCACTCATGATGTTTTTGAGGTTCATCTGTGTTGTAGCAGGTATTTCATTCCTCTTTACGGCTGAATGATATTTTGTTATATGGATATACCACATTGTATTTATTCATTCACCAGTTGACATTTGTGTCATTTCCACTTTTTTAGCTATTATGAAAAATTCTGCTAGAACAGTCAGGCACAAATTTTGTGTGGATATATGTTTTCATCTCTCTTGGATATGTACCTAGGAGGGGAGTTTCTGAGTCATACAATAGATGTTTAACAATTTGAGGAACTCACAGTTTCCCAGAGTAACTGCACCATTTGCATTCCTACCAGCAATGTAGGAGGCTTCAGTTTATCTGCATGCCCACCAGCACTTGTTATTTTCTGTCTTTTTTGACTGCAGCCATCCTAGTGGTATGAAGCTGTAGTATGGCTTTGATTTGTGTTTTTCTTATGAATGAGAATTTTAAAGATCCTTTCATATGTTTATTGGCCATTTGTTATATCTTCTTTGGAGAAATGTCTCTTCAAATCCTTTGCCCAATTTCTAATTGCATTGTCTTTTTATTATTGAGTTGTAAGAGTTCTTTATACATACATATATATATACACACACACACATTTATGTATATGCATATACACACACCCCACGTGCGTGTGTGCGCGTGCAATTTTTTTTTAAGAGATGGTATCTCACTATATTACCCAGGCTGGTCACCAACTCCTGGCCTCAAGGGATCTTCCCGCCTCAGCCTTTCAAGTAGCTGGGACTACAAGTGTGCACCACTGCACCCAGCTAGTTCTTGATAATCTGAATACAAATCCTTTAATGAGATATATGATTTGCAAATATTTCCTCCCTTCCTATGGGTTGTCTCTTCACAGTCTTTACTGTGTCTTCCGAAGTACAAAAGTTTATGCTCAATTTATCATTTTTTTTCCTTTTATCTCTTGTGCCCAAGTGATTGGTTAATTGACGATCACAAGTATTTACTCTTATGTTTTCTTCTAAAAGTTTTATAGCTTTAAGTGCTTACATTTAGGTCTGTCATCCATTTTGAGTTAATTGTTGAATATGATGTGATATAGGGATCCAAATTCATCTTTTTCCATGTGGCTATCTAATTGCCCCAGCACCATTTGTTGAAAAGACGATTTCTTTCCCATTGAACTTTTTGGGGTACTTTTGTCAAAAATTACTCAATAGTCAATGTGGTCTTATTTTTGTGCTTTTAATTTTATTCAGTTGATCTATATGTCTGTCCTTAGGGCAGTACTGCACTATTTTGATTGCTGTAGCTTTGTAGTATGTTTGAAATTAGGAATTATTAGTTCTCCAACCTTGTTCACTTTTTCAAGGTTGTTTGGCTATTATTGATCCTTAATATTTCCTATGAATTTTAGGTCCATCTCTCAATTTCTACAGAAAAGGCAGTGGGAACTTTAATCGTGTTGAATCTTTAGACCAATTTGGGTGTTATTGCCAACTTAGCAATATTAAGTCTTCCTATCCATGACCATGTGCTGTCTGTCTTTCCATTTTATTTAGGTCTTCTTTAATTTATTTTAGCAATGTTTTATAGCTTTCTGTGTAGAAATCTTGAATTTCTTTTGTTATATTTATTCTTAAGTGTTTGATTTTTCTTGGTGGTATTGTGAATGGTATTATTTTCTTAATTTCACTTATGGCATGCCTGATGCTAGTGTAGAGAAATAAAATTGACTTTTGTATGTTTATCTTGTATCCTGCAGCCCTACTGAACTCATTTATTAGTTCTAGTCATTTTTTTTTTTTGAGACAGAGTCTCACTCTGTTGTCCAGGCTAGAGTGCCGTGGCATCAGCCTAGCTCACAGCAACCTCAAACTCCTGGCTCAAGCAATCCTTCATGCCTCAGCCCTCCAAATAGCTGACTAAAGGCATGTGCCACTATGTGCGGCTAATTTTTTCTATATATTTTAGTTGCAATTAGATTTTTCTGATTTTAGGTAGAGGTGGAGTCTCACTCTTGCCCAGGCTGGCTTGAAACCCTGACCTTGAGTGATCTGCCCACCTCAGCCTCCCAGAGAAGCTAGGATTACAGGTGTGAGCCACCATGTCTGGC